CTGATCCAATTGCAAAAAAATTAGCACCATTCGATTCAGCGTCGTCAAATTACCATTATATCAAGTTTTCCCAATCTAGCTAAATTTTACAAGTTTTCTTTTATTGACTGGACTATTTACTGAGTAATAGTCTTCCATTGGAATTGAGATTGTAGAGCGAAGAACTTATGTAAATTATTTAGGAGAAAGAATCTTATATATGAATTGTAATAAATTTCCAAAGAGAAGAGGCTGATGAATTAAATTAAAAAACAAAATAAAATAGATAAAGATATATAAAAGATATACAAAATATATAAGGATATATAAAGATATATATACATAAATTATATAAAAATATATAAGTTAAAGAAATTCAAAGAAACAAAATATAGGTACATACCTGACTATTGTCTGGTATAATAACTGAATGAAGAGAACGATTGAATTCATCGGTATTGTCAAATACAAATCAAAATGTTGTCATCGTTGAGTTAGAACATAACAGAGTCGCACAGCAAGCTAACTAATATAACTATTTTCATCCTGAATTGCAGATAACTATAATGAGTAAAAGAAATGAATTAAAACTAATAAACGATCCTAGGCATTTGTATACTGCGTAATTTAAAATATATACATTAAATAGAATACACTGTAACTATAACCTATAAAATTAACTAATGTGGTCATTTTTAATTTCACATAGCGGTAATGTTCAACACAGTAATATATTTACAAAATTATAATTTTAATTATTTTATTTCTAAATTCTGTATATTATGTGTGTGTGTGTGCGTGTTGTCTGTATAATATGTAAAGCAATATTCCTTTCTTACTCATAAGAGACTGTTGCATTTACCTTCTAAAAGGTTTTCACTTTCGTCATTTACTTTCATCGCTGCTATATCCTTTTCGTATAATGTATGTATTAAGAGACTACAATTACGCTTATATGATGCGTTATTTTTCTTTATTTTCTTATGGGCTATTAGAAAATGCTTAGTAAAGTACACACAATAATACACCAATAACGTTTCAACCGCGCACCGCTGGCGTACCATTAGCGCTCTGCTCGCGTATCAATGATGATAGATCCAGTAGTGTATAAATGGCGTTCCAGCACTGTATCAATGGTGATCCGAAAACGTACCAAAATAGCGTCGCAACGACGCCAAAAACAACTAGCAATTAGTCAATTATGCAATAATTACTGGAAAAGTAATTCTAGAAAAGGACTATCTGTAAATATATAAAAGTTATTTAAGAAACATTATAAAGTAATTAGTTTCTATAGATGAAATGGATAGAAGGGACCAAGGAAAGGAGTAAAAGAATATGGTATTAATTTGGAAGTTAAAAGATACTAATTTCAATTATAATGTTTATGGTAAGCGGTTTTTAGCTGGATTTCACTTGCAGTGGAATGTATAGCATATAAAATATGATAAACATTACACTGAAAGTAAAATACCATAGCTCGGGTCTAACCACGAGAAGGTAGCCGCTTCCGAAGACCCACGAAGGATGTGCATCCTGAAGATGTCCACATCCGAAAAAAATTAAACGAAAGAAAATTATTTAACTGAGAACGTTTTTTAAGAAATCTAACTCTTAGGCCCCACCCTAAGAGTTTCACCTATTCTCAAGTAATACGTTTACGTGTCGAAGTCTAACAAAGAACTGATTCAAAACAATATAAGTTATCGGTAAATTTTTTGTTTATATATTGGCTCAGTAACGAAATCAAGTTTTAAAAAAGTCATCTAAAAACAAAAAAAAAATTTATATCAAAATTATTTTCTATTAAAAATATATATATATATATATGTTAAAACACAATGAAATATAAAAAGAGTGTATTAGAGAATTATAATAATTGTTAAATAATCGATAGAAATATTTATTGTTTTCTAAAAGCCCGGAGTATATGTTTTGACAACCGTCTTCCTCGAAATGCACCTTGAGACTGACACTTGCTCTTCTATGAAAATACTTTTATTGAAAGTTGTTTATATGACTTTTCGAACGTTGCGCATGTGTATAAAGGGAATAGTTCATCTAATCAATAAAAATTAAGATTCCAACGCTCTTATTTTACCATGTTTACTTTTTTATGCAATTGTTTAAACACATATAGCATTTGTTGTGAAGTTTCTGTGTAGTCGTGACTTCGGAGGGAGAAATTTTCATCGAAAAAATGTCAAATCGAAAAGGTTTATTATTTAAATTGTGTACTCACATCTAATATAAAATAAATTTAAATCTATTAACTCTAAGTATAAAAAATTTTTACCTACAAATTTCAAATAAAGTGCAAAGATGCACTATTTTCAGCATTGCATTCTTTGACATTTTATATAATATTGCAAATCGACCATTAACTCGAATAAATATTGTAAGTGTAGAGCAAAGAGTGTACTTTAATTTAAAATAAATTTTTGTTAAAATTTGACCACTGTAAGTATAAAAAATATTGACGAGAACGTTCCAAAAATATGACTGCTATATGTGAAAATTATATCCTTTGCAGCATTTCATTTTATGGGATTTTAAGTACATAAAACGCAAGTATACTAGCCAAAAAAAGTATTGTACGTGTATGGCAAAGAGTGTACTGTCATTTAAAATAAATTTTATTAAAATTTTACCACTTTAACTATAAAAAAATTGACGAGAACATTCCAAAAATATGAAAGCTATGTGTAAAATATATGTACTTTGCAGCATTTCATTTTAATGGATTTTAAGTATTTAAAAAGCAAGACTACTAGACTAAAAAAGAATTGTACTTGTAGGGCAAAGAGTGTACTTTATTTTAAAATAAATTTTATTGAAATTTGACCACTGTAAGTATGAAAAATATTGACGAGAACGTTCCAAAAATATAAAAGCTATGTGTGAAAGATATCTTTTTGGCAGCATTACATTTTATGGGATTTTTGGTATTTAAAACGCGAGACTACTATCCGAAAAAAGTATTGTACGTGTAGGGCAAAGTATGTACTTTAACTTTAAATAAGTTTTATTGAAATTTGACGACTGTAAGTATAAAAAATATTGACGAGAACGTTCCAAAGATATTACAGCTATGTGTAAAATATATGTACTTTGCAGCATTTCATTTTATGGTATTTGAAGTATTTAAAACGCAAGACTTTCAGCTTGAAAAGGTATTGTTCGTGTAAGGCGAAGTGTATACCCTAATTTAATATAAAAATCATTAAGATTGAACGGCTATAAGTTTTAAAATTTTTTTCGCAAACTACTTAATAAAATAAATTTCTTTCTGGTCC